GGAATCCAAACTTAAAGATTGCAGTTTATTGATAAGCCTTCTACGTGCAACAGTGTCAAAAGCCCTACTGAAATCTAGGTAAGCAATGTCTACTGCACCACCCTGATCTATTATTTTAGTTACCCAATCAAAAAAAAATCAATACGATTAGTTTGGCATGATCTCCCTGAAGTAAACCCATGTTATTTCTGATCTTGAAAATCATGTGTTTTTAGATGTTCAACAATCCTATCCTTTAACATGGTTTCCATGACTTTCCCCACTACTGAAGTAAGGCATACTGGCCTATAGTTGCCTGACTCCTCCCTACTACTGTTGGGGATAAAATCAGCCTGGGCCCTTTGTGGATGATGGATATTTGCCAACTCATACAGAGCTCTGGAAATTGGAAATGAATAGCAGAGACGTGTTCAATAACCAATTCAAATTGTATTCATACGTCAGTTATATTTATAACCCATTTTCATAGCAGGATGGGAGGGGGAAAAATGAGCATATGGGCGTGACAATGACATTGTTTTTCACAAGTTATAAACATCTGTTTTTAGTTATAATTCGATGTTACATAATGTATGCATATTGGATAAAACCCAGATGATTACAAATACCGAAATCTTGGACAATTAACAAGGTCATTCCAGAATCCTTATCATGTCATGTCATGTCATGTAAATAACAAAATCATGTTTCAATAACATTTCTGAGAATTGGAGATACAATTCCAAATTTATTCTTGATTCAAATTAACCCTTACATGAACAGTTAGGATATAGAGCAAAATGGATATTCGCATCTACAATTCCCCTCTTAGATCATATCATGATCTACCTTATGGAATATCCATGGGAGGCCTGCGGCAGAGAAACGAAAGGAGGTATATTCAGACGTGCTAATCACGTCTGCGGGACTTTCCTTATTTCTTCACCTCGATTTCCCCCATTTGCTCTATGCCGTAGGTTTTCCCTTTAAGAGGAGATCGAGCTGTCGATTTTCAGCTTCTGTAATCATCTGTTGTACACATCTTTTAAGTGTACAAGTTAAATATTTCAAACATCTGACATCTTAACTGCACATCATGTTATCTGCAACTTGAGCCTTGGATCAAAACAGGCAAAGTGTATTATTCCCAACAACGGGAATATTATTATTATAATTCACAATGTAAACACATATAATCAAAAATGGGAATAAAATCTATTTCCCCTCTTTGGACCAGGGTCTTGGATTACCAGTCCACCCAGTGAACTTGGGCCAGGTCAAAAATCCCAGTGGCAAAAACTCATAATTGAGAAAAAAAGCACATCTGGGTAAATTCTAAGTGAGGGCCATGACTGTGTAAACATGTCATCCCCTCATGTTGACAGCATTAGTGACTTATAAAACCTGCACTATGTAAGTAAATAGCTCAGGTATCGGGATTGGGAAACACTTCTTGATTAGTTTGAAAAGGCCCACTTACATATTAAATCATAAGATCATTTCTAATCAGTTTGCAATTCTAGCAATAATCCCAATCATGACCTTGCGTCCTATGCCTCCTAATCAAATCCCTATTTTGATGGTCCAGTCATATCCACACTTAATACATTGGAATCCATCCTTGGTACACTTAACATACATCAATGACACACATAGTACATCCATGCCTGAGTAAGCTAACACTTCCTCTCTCTCCGGCTAACTCTACAAAAATAAAAATAAAAATAACAAAATAGTTCAATAGTCCAGCATAGTCCAGAAAAATATTATAAGTCTTTCAAGGAGTATAAAGAATCTTAGACACCATAAACTTTGTTCCACAATCTTAGACACCATAACATAGCTAAGGGTAGCAATATGGCTGACAACAAGACAATGTCAGCTTCCACATAGTTCTTAATTCTTCTGTTTGCTGGATGTTCACCACAATACTCTGTGCAACACCCCAATTGTTGAAAGGGTAATACAGAAATAGCGGCATTAGACAGCACTGCATCTTCAGGACTTTCCAAGTTAGTTTATGTCCTCATAAGTAAGCATCTCAGTTTCTTCGGCCAGCATGGATTTTGACCAAACAGATTTAATTGCAAAAAAGGTAAGTAGGCAGGTAGGTCAGCCAGAGAGATTGGTGTGTAGTCCCAAATATCAGGCAGCACAAATACTCCAGTACGGTCTCTATAATCATACAAACACAAGGATCAGTACGACATCAATAAATTAATTATCTAGGCTAAACTCAAATTAGAGACTAAAGTTAAACTCTTAACTAGTGTAACATGTACTTCTCTCAGTTTTGTTTATGTCCTTTATAAAATTTTAATACATAATTTCCCTTTAGAATGCCTTGTATGAATGAGAGAAGCACTCATTCTATATAAATGCTTGTTGAGTACTAAAACACTAACATATACATATTGGTATAATTCCCAATAAAATGCTGTTCTTAAACTTAAACCTTGATTTGATAATCTCAATTAATTACTTTAATAAAATTTTGTGGACCCTGATAACATCTTTGGAAACCCAAACCTTTTATAGATCCCAATGTGTGTGATCATGTTTTAATACATGTTGGAACCTCCATACAGTTATCCCACTTAAACAATATATATTTTTTTCAGAACAACTAGGAATGAAATAGGAGAAACAAAATAAATTACTATTGTTCTAAAGTGCTTTGTTTAATACAGGTTTCGGAAGAGTTGTCTTGCTGTGTTGCAAGTGGCCTCTGATAAGGAAGGGACAGCAAACTGTAGACATATGTTATATTAAGTTGCTCTCACTTGTCAGGTCTTGGAAACCCACTTAATTTATTGCAGATGCCTCTATTATACCACTTTACAAATTGACTAAGCATACTTATTATCCTATTTTATTTTAGTTATTTCACATTGCACAGCCTATGCAAACAATGTCTAGGTCCCAACTTCAGCTTGTACATCCTCTAAGAGCCAGCATTAATACTGTTTTATCTATCAAAACTATATATAAAGTATTAAAAACATGAACCATCTGTGTATTAGGCTGAGGTTGTTGGGTGTGGGTATAGCTTGAAAGTTGTGGTTGGTATTGAGGAACCTGCCAGGGTGGGAGTCCTTGAATGCCAGCTGGGCCAGGAGAACACAAGCACCTTGGGGTGAATCCCTGCTACCCACAATTAAAACAGTGCTGAAGTTACCATCTCTACAAAAGTTAAATCCTTTGATCAAATTCTCTACCTCTGCCTCTAAAACTTTTCTGATTCAATCTATCACCTCCAAACTTTCTTTGTCTCGCCTGCTTAAGATCACAATCCTTTTGTGACCGATACAACATACTTTTCCCTCTTTCTTTATATCCAAAACAACCTGCTGTATCTTTCTCATGAATCTTCCCAAGAAATTCAGTTCAAAGAGGGCCAGTCACAGACCAACAGTTTGACCAAAAGTGAACAAGGAGGAAGCATATTCCATATGAAGGTCGAGATGACCTAACTCACACCCCCTCTTTGTGTACACCTATTTGTGTACCACACAGATATAATATTAATAGGCTTTTGAAGATTTATTGTGCATGTATAGCACGGTCTAGGGGTGTATACATAAACAGTGAAAGCAGAGTCTTCATATGGGGTTTGCAATACTGACAGTCTGGGTCATAGGTGTAATACAGACATGCGGTTAGAAACTTTTCCATTGTCAGAACACTAATATATTGCAAATATTAAAATCATATTGCAGCTGTTTCCTATACCTGCAAGGATATGGTTGTAATACTTCAATTGAGTTCAAATTGAGTATCAAAAATTCTAACCACAAAAACTAAATTTCATATGCTTATCAAAAATGAGTTTAACCCCTTAGCAATTTAATAGGGTGACCTCTTCCCATAGTATGGTTCCTTTTATAATTATTATATTATTTATTCTCTTCTGGGTCTGCAAAATGCTTTCAATATACCAATACAAATATAATACAGTAGTCTAGAATTGCCTCAAAAGAAATTATCTGATCTCTATTAAAAATACCATTTCATCATTTTCCTATAATCAATGAGGCATACTAAATGAATCTTAATCTTGGAAAAAACCTATCCTATACATCCATAATTTTTCTTGTTATATAACCATATAACATAACACATTTTTCTTTTCTTAAATAATGCAATGCACTTTAAAAGTAGCGTTAACTCTAAATACTCCCCTAATAATACTGAAACGTGGATCCACGATTTTGAAAAGCAAATGATATATTTTTTTCTTTTTCTTTCCCAGGGGCCCCTTTCTTGTTGGCTGATCAGCGTTTTTTTTTAATCTGTTGTAAAAAGACACTAAAGGCTTGCGTTAATGACATGCAAATATTCTTTAAATATTCTTCATACTCATTGTAATATCACACATCAACTTATAGCACAGAAAACATGTAGCAGATATCCAGCAGACATGCCAATACAAAAAGCATATTCATGGACAGGCAATTAACTCAATCCAAAATAAATTAATAAATGTCACACTATGTGACGGACATAATTTGGTTCTCATGTTTGTGCAATATGCATGTCTGCAAACAATGCAAGCAGTACTATTTTAAGGTTAGATCAGAGCACCTGGCAACTGGACAGGAAAGTCAAATTTTGGCAGGAAGTCCATTATTGCAACAGAATTTTGGAAATCAGCTAAAATTTACAAAAACAGACTCCCTCCTTTTTTTCTTTCTTAAGACTACAACTCATATTGCTCTTGGACAAGTATTCAATAATAAATCAGTTATTTAATAGATTATTACGCTGCCATTTTCATCTGTATCAATACTAAGACAAACTTATTCAAATATAATTTAAAATAACACAGCAAAATACCCATTAACATACATGACAATTAAACTGCACTTCAAAATGAGTAACCAAAACAAACATTTATGACAATCATCATTCACACAGAATAAACTTCTAACAGCTGTATTCAGAACATATTATTGTAAGGTATACCAATTTTAGTTTGTATTGGATTTATTTAAGATTTCTGGTACCAAAGGGTTTATTTTTTCTTTTTTAAAGAAGGGATCCCGTACGGCCATATAACACGTTTGACTTAAACATTTGTATAACACTTGCATTAACCAGTTGCAACATATGAAACCTGTCAATGGAATTTCTCTCTTATACGCTTATAGAACATTTGGACCAGATTACACAGACATGGTATCACCTGCATTTGTCAGAACTCTCAAAGACTCAAAATATTTATACTACTCCATGTTAAAGGCATGGCAAAACTTTGACCGGTCAATTTGAGTTTCCAAAAGTCATATCAACACAGGTAAAAACCTTTGTCCATGGTTTTCTGATCCTACATTCCATGACCAAAATTTCAAACCCACTTCTTCACAGTTTGGGTCACAAGCAATAAAATCTCAGCAACCCCATACAACAATTTACAGAATACATACAATACTACATACTGGAATACTACAAGTTAGCTTACAGCACAATATGAAGCATGTGTTGGAACGCTGAAAATATAAATTTTGCTCTCTAATTCATAATCATCTAAATTTACAACATAAATTCTCTGCAACAAACACTCAGGGCAGAAAGAATGTGGTGTTTGACGTTTTGAATGAAGTGACTTTTTGTCCCAATATGAAAATAAAGGGCTCATCATATAAACAATCATACATCCCACTCTCATGAAAAAGTGTAGTGGGCTTATAGTACTTTTGACCAAATATAAAAATAAGGGGCTCATTATGCAAAGAAACATACATGCAGAGAAATCATGTTAGTTCTAGAATTTGTAGCCCCCCTCAAATAACCTCTAGTTTTTTCCTTATTCATCATCACCTTTACATGTACTTTTGACATTCCCTCAATTAAGACTTTATGCTTAAAATCAGCGTTGCACATCATAAAATAGCACATAAATTAGCAAGCCGGAGTAATGCCAAACATCCATCATACCTTTTAACCCCCTTTTTTTTTTTAAACCATTTTAGTCTGCCAAATTGACATCTACGTTAAATAAATACCACAGTCCACCAAAGACTGGAAATCTGTTTTACAACCTACCAAAGGCAACCTCTACCAAAGAGGGATCTAGGGACGTCTCCCATATGTAAATGTACATCACAGGTACATCACAGCCTACCAAAGGCTTGAAATTCTTTTTAACACCTGGCCAAAGGTGAACCTCTTACCAAAGAGGAAATGTGCACAATAACTACTACTACCTACCAAAGGCAATCCTCCAACCCGTGGAGTAATAGAAGTCTACCTAAGACTTAACAAAATACCATGTCTACCAAAGACATTATCCTGTGAAAATCCCCTTTTTTTTTCTGGAGGCGTGGGTTCGAATCCCACTTCTGACACCAATTTGTTGGGGATAAAATCAGCCTGGGCCCTTTGTGGATGATGGATATTTGCCAACTCATACAGAGCTCTGGAAATTGGAAATGAATAGCAGAGACGTGTTCAATAACCAATTCAAATTGTATTCATACGTCAGTTATATTTATAACCCATTTTCATAGCAGGATGGGAGGGGGAAAAATGAGCATATGGGCGTGACAATGACATTGTTTTTCACAAGTTATAAACATCTGTTTTTAGTTATAATTCGATGTTACATAATGTATGCATATTGGATAAAACCCAGATGATTACAAATACCGAAATCTTGGACAATTAACAAGGTCATTCCAGAATCCTTATCATGTCATGTCATGTCATGTAAATAACAAAATCATGTTTCAATAACATTTCTGAGAATTGGAGATACAATTCCAAATTTATTCTTGATTCAAATTAACCCTTACATGAACAGTTAGGATATAGAGCAAAATGGATATTCGCATCTACAACTACCTTTCTTGTGAATGGGAACAACATTCGCTAACTTCCAATCATCTGGGACTACTCCTATTAACAATGATTGGTTAAATAAATCTGTTAATGGCTTTGCTAGTACACCTCTATGCTCTTTTAATAACTTTGGGTGTATTCCATCAGGCCCCATTGACTTATTTGTCTTTACTTTTGACAGTTGAAATAGAACCTCTTCCTTTGTAAACTCACATGTAACAAATGCCTCATTTGTCCTTTTTCCTAACTGAGGCCCATTTCCTTAATTTACATCTGTAAAAACTAAACAAAAATATTCATTGAGGCAGTCAGCCCTTATCCTCTTCTACATACCTTCCTTCTTTTGTTTTTTTAATCTAACTAATCCTTGTTTTACTTTCCTTTTCTCATTTATGTATCTAAAAAAAGTTTTGTCCCCTTTTTATACTGACTGTGCTATTTTCTCTTCTGTGTGTGATTTGGAAGCTCTTATAACTTCTTCGTGCCTAATCTCATAGACCATTCTGTCTTCCTCACTCTGGGTTTTTTTTATAATTACTAAATGCAAACTTTTAGTTTTTTACTATGTTGACCACATCTGCGGAGTACCACAGTGGTTTCTTGAATTTTTTGCTTTTACTGACAAGCCTAAGGCAATTTTCTGTTGCCTTCAGCAGTGCAACTTTCAAATAATCCCATTTCTCCTGTACTCCATTCAAATTGTTCCAGTCTGATAATGACTCCTTTACAAATATTCAAATTTTAGAAAAATCTGTTTTTCTAAAGTCTAAAACTTTTGTTTTTGTGTGGTGTGACTCAATCACTGTTCTTATATTAAACCACACTGACTGATGATCATTGGATCCTAAACTTTCACTTACAGTAATATCTGATACTAAATCTCCACTTGTTAACACTAAATCTAGTATGGCCTCCTTACGAGTTGGCTCCTCAATGAACATTAAATAACATCAAATAAACATTTGTTCCCTTTTGAGAAAGATGCAAACCATCTTTTTTGTACAGTTTATTTCCATCCATATAGAGCTACCATGAGAAATAAAGCCAAACCCTTGCTCCCGACACCATTCACCAAGCCACAAGTTAAAGTCCCTAGCATCCGCCTGTCATTCTGAGTGTTATGCACAGGCAGAACTTCTGAGAATGACAGTGTGGAAGCAACCTGCAGTATATCATTGGCAAAAACACAAAAAAACTTAATTTACCTCTGAAACCTCATTGCAAGCCAAGTCATTTGTCCCTAGATGGACAAGTACATCCAATTCCCTTTCCTGCTTTGCTCGCTTAACAATATTACAAATACGTTTCCTGTCTCTGTGAGCAGTAGCTCAGACGTCTCACAAGACCACCATTATCCATCTCCACACCTCTTATGATAGAATCCCCCAACAACAACTGCTTTCTATTAGGCCTCACCATAGTCTCCAAGCCTGTCTCCACAACACCACTACACTTGGTGTCTGAGCCTGTCTCCACAACACCACTACCATCAGTGCCTGAGTCTGTCTCCACAACACCACTACCCTCAGTGCCTGAGCCTGTCTCCACAACACCACTACCCTCAGTGCTTGAGCCTGTCTCCACAACACCACTACCCTCAGTGCCTGAGCCTGTCTCCACAACATCACTAGCCACAGTGCCTAAGCCTGTCTCCACAACACCACTACCCTCAGTGCCTGAGCCTGTCTCCACAACACCACTACCCTCAGTGCCTGAGCCTGTCTCAAACCTATTGCACTTTCAGTAAGCTCTATTTATATATTTATTGTTTATTATAATTAAAATATGGAGGTCTTATCCTTTATCCACACCCTTGACCCAGCAACAACAATCTGAGCTCAAAAGATAGTTATCAAGATACTCTGTCAGCAACAGCTAAGATCTAATTGAGTGTGACGAGCAACCTGTGATGTAATAGATATTTATTCATGTGTCTTTCTTACTAACAAGAATAGTTTACTGTGAAACGGACTACATCATTAGTAAACTAGAAATTGTAGATTATGCTAGCTTTAGTGTACCTATAATCTTAATTTTATTAATGACAGGAGGCGAATATTTGCTTAAGTCTCTCTTTACTAGAACTCCACAGCAGCAAAAAACACAGAGTAAACAACCAATCGAAAGGTGTCTTCACGAGACCAGTCTGCCGAACGTAGAATATCAGAAAGGGAAGCACCTGCTATTCGGGCTCCCACCGCCGCCGTGCCCCTTACTGAATGAGCACCAAATGAGGAGTCCACACCGGCCAATGACAATAACCATCTGATCCAACGAGCCAAGGTAATGGAAGAAACCACTTTATGTGGACGCACATAGGATACCAACAGTTGTCCCGATTGTGAACCTCGAAGCGGGGCAGTAACTGTCACATACTGAGACAGAGTAGAAACCACACAGAGCTTAGGAGCCTTTCGTAAATATGGATAGAAAATGGCAGTGAAGTCGGACTTGGTACATCTCGACACCGAAAAGGTCACCCCGTCTGGGGAAAAGGTGAACGCATTAAGGTCAAAAGCCCGTACGTCGGAGACCCGACGAAAAGATACAAGGCACAGAAGAAGTGTAAATTTGGCTGGTAACTGTTGTAGGGATATGTCCTGATTATCCGGCCATTCCTGAATGAGATCCAAAACCCGGTGTACGTCCCAGAGGGATGCATATTTAGGTGCTGGTGGCTGCGATAGTCTGATGCC